TTGGATACGTAAATTCACTACTCGTATAAATTTAATTCATTTTTCATTTTGTAACAAAAACAAAGTCCGATGTAAATTTGTTGTTGTTGTTGTTTTCTTCCATTTCTTTTTTTTTCAGCGAAGGTTTATGTTTCACACATAACCGAATTAACGCCAAACTTACTGTGTTTTTCTTTTTTTTGCTGTTGATGATGAATTTTTAACGCATGCTTCGTTTAACAATAACCCACTTTACTCTAGTTTCGTTCACCTCACGTTAAGTTTCCATCGCATTTTTTTGAAACAATTTTTTCAAATTATTTTTTTCAATTTTCATAATCATTACATTATATAAGAAATAGTGGATGAAATTTCATCTTTAAGCATGATTTTTGTATTGCGTACATTTTCAATTTGTTAGATAAGTGCATTAGATTAGATGGAAACTTGGGTGTTAAAGTGAATGGAATATTTAGTAAAGTAAGTAAAGTAAGATTAGAAACGATGGAATCGATTTTAATCCGAAAACTTGATGAATGAAGTTCCGTGTTTCCATATATATATATTTTTCTTAAATTTAAACTAAAATTGATAGGAAAAGTTTAAACTAATAATAATTAATAATGTTTTTCGAGTTTATTAAATAAATGTGCTTTTTTTTACGGTCCTCTCCAATTCGAGGGACTTAAATTAAGTAATTTGGATAATCTATATATATAATATTTTTTGATGATTGATGATCGGTTTAATAAAAATCTGCAAAATTCTGGATATTTTCAGTGATTTTTTCAAAGAAACCCCCAAAATTTTTTCGTGGACGTCCAAATTATTTACGTGTGCCAGAGGATAGAGGAAAGCTATTACTTTAAAATTTCAACGCGATTCACAACTTTATCTAAGATTAGAACGTTTACTTTAGCCTGCCTAATCGTGTCCTTAAGTATTTGTTTTATGTAATGGGTTTTCTCTCTCCTTTAATTGCATATGAATATATGTGTATTTATATACTTATATATTACATTTAGTGCGATAAGATATTCAACTAACTACATACAATTCTTTTTTTTTGTGAGAGTTCTCAGCCACGCATAATCCGTGAACACGAAATCCGCGTTTCCATTTGTATCGATTGAATGGAAAATGTAGAAAGAAAAGTCTTTTCTTGTGAAAACTAAAGGGTTTTCGTGCGAGAAACGATTTTGTCTTTGAAATTGGACGTGGATTTCGTGTTTGACTACTGCCATCTATCGGGATAATCTCCCCAAATTTATTCAAATATACAGGGTGTATCATCGTTATTTTGTTGTTGTATACAGGTCGCCCGTAAATTGGCCATGGTTGAAGCTGATTTAGAAAGAGCAGAAGAACGCGCCGAGGCCGGCGAAAAGTACGTTTTCTCCAACCAACCAAAAAAAAAATCCATTTCCGCCCACCCCCTCATAGTTGTTGTTTTCTTTGGATTTTCGCTTTTACTAGTTTTCGTTTCGTCTGTCTGCGTGTTTATTTATAGACCTACTCTTAGCTTAGTTTAAGTATTTAGCAATTATTACACCATTTCCATCGCAGCAAGCTTAGAAATTGTTTCTTAACGTCGTTAGTTGTTACAAATCAACGTCAATTGTCACAACAAACGTCAACTGTCACAAAACGTCAACTGTCACAAAACGTCAAATGTCATAAAACGTCAACATTGACAGTTCTAAGCTTGCTGTTGGATATTGGTTTGTTTAGTCTTTTGTGCTTGTTCTTAATTTTTTTGATAGTTGCATGCTCGTTTTTCTTGTGTGTTTTTCGCTAGGTTGCCCGTAAATTGTATCTGATGGAGAGAGATTTAGAAAAGGCTGAGGAAAGGTCGGAGCACAGCGAAAGGTAGGGTTTGGGCTTGAGCATGGCGCTAAAAGTAGTTTTTTTTTGTCTCTCTCTTTGTTTCAATCCCGTAGTTTTCCTACACGCTCCTATCAATTTTCCTTCGGGACTTGGAAGAAGGGAGGAAAGTATTTTGAAATTCTAATTGAGTATTTAAGTCAAGTATGTTTTTGGTGATATTGCGAGGATGTAAATGTTTGCTAAAGTCTAAAAGGAAATCCGGTTTCGGTGGACGTTTCCACCGCAAAATCGGTTAGCAAACGTTTCATACTTGAAGTCGCTTTCGTATAATTACTGGACTTTATAAATTTATTTCAAATTCAGTTTGTAAACACTAACTGTTCAAAATTCCAATGTCATTTTTTTAAAATAAATGTCAATCTTGGTTACGTCACGTTTAAAATGTCAGTATTGTCAATCAAATGTCACTTGTCAATGTCACTTTTATCGAACTGTCAAAACTTATCTACAAAATATCTACTTTATATTCGAAATGTCAAGAAACGTCAATCAAAATACATACTTTTAAAAATTATTCGTTTCTTAAATTGTATGTTAAATACTGTGAATTAAGTAATTTATCTTACGATAATGACGTTTTTATAAGGTTGAAAGTAATGCAAATCTTAAGTCATTGCAAATGTTGCTATGACTTAAGTTATATTTAAAAAAAAATACTTAAGTGCTTATATTATTTTGAAAGTTTTAAATGATTTGAAAGAAAGCTAAAACCAAAGAATTTCTAAACTTTTACTCCTTTTTTTCCAAGTCCATAAAATATAATTGATGAGGTGAAATATCACCTCCGAAGATGTGATTTCTAACGTATATATACTTTTTTTTTGTAGCAAAATCGTCGAACTTGAGGAGGAACTCCGCGTTGTAGGCAACAACTTGAAATCCCTCGAAGTCTCTGAAGAGAAGGTGAGAAATCCAACTCTACATTAAGAAAAAGATGTTCGGTCAATAATCGAATAATTAAACCGGATGAAATTTACGATCGATGTACGCGTTTCATTCTAATGAGATTTCTCGATCGTAAACATCACGCGATATATCAATAACATATGCGATAAATTTTTGAATTTTATAACGCAAGAAATGATTGGGTCATAAAGTGCATAAAACGTTTATCTTATTGATATCGCATACGGAAGATGTGCTAAAATAACGATGACGTAGGCAACTTTATGTGCAGACGCGTGTAATTCTAATATACTTTGGAGATTTGAAATTGTAATCGTTATTTTACTATTATCTTATATATTTATAAATTATGTTATATTTTCTCAAATTTATCGATAAATGTGTATAGGCCAACCAACGTGAAGAGGAATACAAGAACCAAATCAAGAACTTGACCACCCGTCTAAAGGAGGTACTTCGCTAGGGCTTTGCTCTGCAGTGATTTGACCCCTTGTTGTTTTATTGATTGGCATATTCGATTTTCAGTCCTTAAAAACAACTAAACTTTAACTTCTCCTCTAGCCGCTGTATTTACAAATTGTTGTTGTTTTTTTACGTGTGTGCGTTTTCTTTACTAATCATTGGAACAATCTAGGCCACGCAGAGGGAGGAGGAATACACATGCAGCATAAAGTCTTTGGACAATCAGCTGAGAGAGGTAAACACGCCAAAAGAACGAGAGGATTCTAGTTTTTCCGCTGTACATACTTCTCTAGGACTCTTGTGTCGTTGTGCGTAGCGCTCGAAACCCATACACCTTTTTTTTTATAGGGCTGCAGTTGGTTTGGTCTTTCTCTACCCTATTTGTATCTCATTTAATTGTATATAAAGAAATGTGGTATAACTTTTGGAGATTTCCGCCTCACGAACTACTTTTGATAGCATGTACTCAGCCTCTCTGTTTTTTTTTTGTTTTTTTTTTTATGTTGCCATCTTAGGCCGCTGCCACAAGAGACGATTGCGAAGATAAAATTCATACTATGGGCGATAAATTGCGTGAAGTAAGTTTGCAAAACGCAATCATCAATTCACATTATATATTCTATTATATTATTCTACACTTTTTGTCACACGTTACCAGTAGATAAATCATCCGGTCACATAGTGTATAGTTAGTTTACGTTTTTAGTTTAAAAACTATCGCGAGAACGAAATTTAGTTAAAACGGATTTAGGTTTCTTAAGTATGTTTTTTTCTTACTGCTTCAAAACGTTTTGTATATGTTTCTTGCTTAAAGAAATATTTAATATTTTATGGGTTCTATAGACTTGTTTTTTATATGTATGAAAGCGAATGGTAAATTGTAATTATTATTAATTTTTTTTTACTTTGGGTCAGTTCTTTCTTTTAAATCCTTTTATTTCTCTGTAAGTATTTTGCTGTTGTTGTTGCATGAAACTGTGTGATTTTCGGTGTGCTAAAGCGAACACAAATTCAGAAAGCTTTTAAGACGTGTTTTTCTAACTTTCGAAACTTATTATTTTTCATGTTTTTGTGATTGGTTTAATGAATTTTAAATTATAAGTTTTTCTTTAATTATTAGTCTCTAATTAAACCAATCTCAAAGCATTTAGTTTTCATCATCCCACTAATCTCACCATTACCCATATTTTGTATAAAAGCAACAAAATCTTAAAAATTCTCGAACTTAATTTAATCTTGTAGTTGATATTAGCAAATTAAGTAAACAAACAGTCAATAAAATTAAGTTTTGTTGCTTTTATATTCAAAGAAACTATGTTTTTTCAAAGAATTTCTTCTAATTCGTTATGTGTTTTCCTGCATTTAGGCTGAAGCCCGCGCTGAATTCGCCGAGCGTTCCGTGCAGAAGCTCCAAAAGGAAGTCGACAGGCTCGAAGGTGCGTATTCGTGGTGTAAATACACCAAAAAGAGAAAAATCTTCACTTTTCAGCATTTCAAAACCAACATAAAGTTATATTTTATGAGTCTAAATCTTACAATTACACATTATTTAAAGTCAACTATAAAACTGAAAAAAAAACTTTTTCTGTAAAAGAATGAATAATTTACGTTAAAGACTCAGATTGTTAGCAAATTCGTTGCTAAGTTACGGTACCGAAATATAAGTAAAGTTAACTGTTACGACTAATCCAAAACAAAACATGACATAACAACCAACGTTTTTTTTTTTTTTGAACTGACAATTAACCAACCGATT